CAAACACCTTTCATGGTTGAATAAGGTTTATTTCTTTCTCCTTTTCCAAAGCTTTTTGGGCATAAGCTTTCCTCGTTGAGCTATTTTCTCCCCTGAAGCAAATACTCCAGAGATCGCCTTGACTTCCCCCATTGGTTGTTAATGCTCTCGAGGCTCTAGAGTGTCTCTTTCTTCTTGGTGGTTCCTTTCTACAAACCTTCCAAGATGGCCTCTCTGTATCAAGTCCTTAATTTGATCTTGAAGAGTGAAGCACTCTTCAGTATCGTGTCCAATGTCACAATGAAAATGGCAGTACTTATCAATATTTCATTTTTAGGAGATATTCTGAGCTTTCCAGGACACTTTAGCAGGTTGTACTTTTGCAATTGAAAGAGAACCTATTCAATTGGAGTGTTCAGGGGAGTGTACGCCTAAGCCTTTGTTGTAGGTAAGTGGGGGCCTAACCTTTCTCTGGCTAGGATACAATCAGGTTTTCCCTTCTTCAAAATATTTGCTTTGTCTTACTTTTCTTGACACTTTCTCTTCTTCTCAAAGGTAGAACCTTCCACACCTTTCTTCACATTAACTGCATCCTCTACATTCATATGGCTCTAAACTATGGAAAGGAGTTCCACCATAGTTTTGGAGAAATGTTTGTGCATAGAGAAATATGTTAGAAGACTTGAGTCCATTGATGGAGGCTATCAAAGCCATCTTGTCATCGGCATCACCTATCTAGAGGGACTCTTCCATAAACTTTACTACATACTGCCTGAGAGTCTCTTCTTTCATCTACTTGATATTAAGGAGAGAAGTGACAAGCTTCCTAGGAGTCTTTCCTCCAACGAAATGGGAAAGGAAGGATTTGCTGACCTCCAAAAAGGATCCAATAGACCCGACAGGGAGCCTATAAAATCAGAGACAAGTTGTTTCCTTCAATGTGGTAGGAAAAGCTCTGCACATAATGGCATCAGGGATTTTGTACAATAACATGAGAGTTTTGTAGGTTTCCAAATGATCCAAGGGATCCTTCTTGCCATTGAAAGTTTTAATGGTCGGCATCTTGAACTTGTGTAGGAGAGGGTTGTTGGTGTCATCCTGAGAGAAGGGTGACTCAAGCCTCTAAACCAACGTTTCCACTATTTTTTGGAGCTTGATCTTTCATGGCGGTTAACATATCTTGAATTCGATTGTTCAGCTCCTTGAAATTTTGGTTCAAAGAGGCATCTTCTTCCTTATGTTGTAGAGAATCATTTGACTATGCTCATCCAACAAGTTTGGTTCATGGCTGTGGAGAACTTTTTCAGAGCAAAGCTCTTGATTTTTTTTGTTGATTTTGAGGACCAACAAGGCCTTGCAAGATTTTTTGAATTTGCTGTGTTTGTTAAGCCATGCCTCCAATGGCTTGGTTCATCCGATCCACATTCTTTTCGAGATTGAAAATTCGTTGGGCCTCCTAATGCCTATTAAGGCGAGGAGGGTTTGGGTTCGGGATTTCAATCCCAATATTTCCTTTAGTAAGTTGTTCTCCGATAGGGTTGTCTTGATTGGCATTCATGTCTCTAGTTGACACCATCTACCGGTGTACAGCAAAACTGAGAAACAACTTTGGTTGTCAAGCCGTTTCCAATAGATAGCGCCAAACTGTAGGAGTAAAAAATGTGTCCAAATATTCTAAAAGATGTTCGCGATTAATTTGGGCCTGGCTATGATTAACCATAAAAAGTGTGAAAATGAATTAGGTTTAACGTTAATAGTGTGCATTAATGGAATTAAAATAATTAATTTGAATAATAGTGTGGCTAATGTTTAATTTGTATATTTTGTAGGGTTTCATGTATAATTATCAAAACTTGGATGGATGCAAGTGCGAAAAGGCAAACAGGAGAGGGAGGAAAGCATAAAATTAGCATAAGGATCACCATCCAAATAGTGCACCACCATCCCAAATCCAAGAAGTCAACCAAGTCAACACAGGGAAGTTGCTAGCAAAAAAACCAGAGGTTTAGCACCTTCTGGACTGCGGTGATGGCATCCGGATGGTAGCTAAATTGCCTTTGAGCATCCTCTCTTCCCATTGGTCTAAAAAAGGTGATGGATGAATGGGATTGGCCAGCTTGGGTGTTTACCACCCTAGGAGGTCCTTCCTGAGGCCTATAAATAGCCTACCTCAGCCATTTGAAAGGGAACTTCGCTAGAGAAGGGAAACAAGAGCTAGAGAAGAAGAAACCCTGCACTAAGCACTCACTAAGCCAAAAACTCTCTTCTTCTACATTTCTTTTACATCTCTTTTACTTGGAGGGTTGAATCTCCCCCACCTTTGTGCCCTATCCGGTAATAAGAGTGAGGGTGTTTCAACTATTTCTTGGGGAAGGATTTCTTGTATTTTTTTTTTTTTTGTATTTGTGTGATGTTGTAATGAGATTATCTCACACTTCTTGCTTGTCTATAGCAATGAAGTGTGAGTAGTAAATTTATACTCTTTAGTGAAGGGTGAAGACATGTATAATATTGTTTATGTTATGGAAATGTCGATATTTTATCTATCCGTTAATGTTTATACCTCCTTTAATTGATGGATGGTTATTATTATTTCCATTTGGTGTCGTATTACTATATGCTCATGGTTAAAAGTATCGAACTAAGCTTATTGTTATATATCATTCTATCTATAAGTTATTACGTACCTCATGCACGATATAATGACACACGTAGTTGGGTTTTATGTACAGCCAAGAGATTGGTTATAGATGGGTTAAATCTTGTCATAGCCAATGTTTTTGATTCAAAGCACAAATCGAAACTCTATCTTTATTGAATCATCAACCTGCAAATCGAATAGTTAAATTAACCTTTTGAATGGTCCACCTTCAGGTTTACTAGGGTTATTTGATTTTTGGATGGTGCATAGACCTTTTAGCTAACCTAATTCGTTGTTGTTATACATAAAACCAACCGATTAACTTTTCAGTTAAATGGAAGTAAATGTTGTAAGGTGGCATTTTCATAGTCAATCACTAAAATGCATGTTGGATCCCCATACTAAAGAGTAGTTTTTCAGTTATTGTTATCAAAAGTTTAATTTAAGCATTTATTTGATAATTCTATGTTTACACCACAAGCTTTGTAAGGCACACTACTTGCATGACAATCTTACCCTTTTTATTTTGAATTCCAGCAGCTATCTTCCTATGGGTTCGACCTCGGACTTAACTAAGTAATACTACAATTTAACCATTTATACTTGGGTGTATGATTTAAATCAGGTCAGGCTACCCCTTTTCTTGAGCTTTGGATGAGGTTTCCCATAGTTGTGGTCTGTGAAAAGAAAGTCGAAGACCAAAGGGGTGCTTTGGGTGTGCTCTGGCTGTCGACCCTATGATGCTCAAGTTTGTATTTGGGAAATTAAGTTTCAGTAATTAAACTAGGCTCAGTGTGATTACATGGGTCTTACTGTGGATGTCCCCTTTTATAGTATTTTAATAAGTGATCTAGAGAGAGTGGACTTTATGCATTCATAATTGTTTGAATTTGCCTCATCTCCTTTCGTTTAAGGAGTCTTGGTTTCTGTGGACTTTCTTCTTTGTTGGGATAGCCATCCAGAGTCCTAGTTGTCCTAGGTGTTTATTTTATCATGTGAATAAGGCTTGCTGAGGGTATAATCTTATCCATATCCCTTGGCTACCTTATTTTCCTCATAGTATTTAAACAAATATGCCACTTGAATGAGTCTTTGGCAAATATGGTTCCTAATAATTGGGAATAAGCTTTCTCATCCTTCTAGTTTCCACTAGGTTAGGGAAACCTAATTAATTGAGCTCATCACTCCTCCAACTTTCCTTTCTCGCTAACAGGTCAGTCAACAGTTGCATTTCTAAAGGTAGTACTAACTATTACCATTCCCTTAGTTGAGATTAAATTTTCCCCCATCACTAGGCTTTTAGAAAGATGGCGCCTTATTTACATAGGTTGAAAATAGAATAGCACCTCTAAAGAAAGTGTCAATCTCTAAAAGAAAAAAAAATAAAAGCCAAGAGGCATTCGATTCATTGGATCGAAAAGACCTAGCTCCGCCTAGGCCTGTTGGGGACCAACTTCGTTAACCACCAATTGAATAGTTGGCAATACTCCAAACTCAGCAAAATACTCTTGATACAAAGTAGAGACGAAAACTACCAAGGTGGGAAACCCAGTAAGCTTGACCTCCAAATAAAGGCAATTAAAAAGCTCAAAAACACAGCAAGGCAAAAATAGCCAAAGCAAGAGTAGTATAAAGAAAGAGTAGTTTATAGAAACTACTAAGCTACTTTCATCACTGGAAAACTTAGAAGTTTGAGAAAAAAGAGAGTAAAACAGTCTCTTAAAACCTAATCATCACCATCCTTTGGCAAGGAATCCTCCTTATCAGAATCGCCTTCCCCCTCCTCAGCAAAAGAGTAGCAAGGGGTAGCAAAGGAAGCAGTTGGGAGAGCAGCAGAAGTAGAAGGTAGGACAGAGGGGTCAAGCTAGATGCTGGAAAAAACAATATTGGGGTAAATCACCACAAAAAATTTCAAAGCTAGTATTCCAGTAGCTCATCCCAAGCTCAAGAAATTCAAAAGACTTCTTGAAATTCTCTACTTCTTCATCAACAACTTTCTTTAGGGTAGCTTTGGCTTCCTCATTCATGGAGGAAAGCTGGTTGGTTGTATCCTTGTCAGATTTTTTGGCCTTGTAGACAACTTCATAGGCATTCGTCAAAGCCTCCTCCAGACCACTCTTAGCATCTTTCTCGATCTCTAAGGAGCTCTTGATATTATCTAAGTCAGCTTGGATAGACACTAACTCCTTCTCGCAAGAATAAAGAATCTAATTTAAAGACAAAGTCTCAGAAAAAGCTTTCTCCTACTGATCCTTGATGGGATCCTCTTTCATAAAAGTCAAACAGCTTATTGTAGAACTAAGAATGGCTAGTTGAAACTAAAGTCCATATTAGAATAATAACATGGAAGAATCAGGAGAAGAGGAGAGATATGTACTACCTTTACAAAGTGATGAGCAATGGACTCAAAAACTTTCAGGGACACCATCTTCACTATCTTCACCTTTGGCCCTAGGATAATATCTTTAAAGCACTTTACATAAAATTCTTTGTCACGCCAAACTATCGAAGTAGTGGTTTTGGTTTTAGGAGTTGAAGTATCACAAGGACCAAGGACAAGTAGCTTGCCTTCAATAGTCTTTATTTCATTCATTAAAGGAATATCTACGGAAGACTCCAAATCGATGGGCTCCTTGAAATTGGAAAAGAAGGGCTATTGAATCCTTCCTTTTGTTGCTTGGCTCTCACACTCCTAAAAGCCTCTCTATTCAACTTTATATCAAGTTAAGGAGCCAAGCCTACAATAGAAACCTCACAATATGAGAGAAAAAGTCGAGAAATAGTGCAAACATGAACAAATAAAATAGAAAACTTAGCCTACAATAGAAATCTTACAAGATGAGAGAAAAAGTTGAGAAATAGTGCAAACATGAATAGATAAAATAGAAAACTTACTTTTCAAAGGTACAACAACAAGAGCGGGAGGTTTAGGCCCCATCCTCAATTTATGCAGAGTGGCCTCTATAACCAAGGTGTTAAATTTTTAAAATTGTGGCTTTGAGCCACAATAATTCTATCAAGAATCTCTTTACCCAGAGATGAGATGTCAGCTGCAAAGACTAGAATCTCTAAATTCTTGGTTTCTTGAAATAAAATGGATATTCAAGAAAATGAAGCAAGAAACTTACTAGAGGTAGCGGTGGCCATTACGCCCCATTTGTAGAGAGCCCTCATAGGGTTTGTAACCAAAGGTTCAGAGGGATCAAATTCCCATCTAGAAATACAAAAGAAGAAGCAATCTTTCCATTCTTTGGTAGGGGAAGGAATTTGTGTTAGCAAATCAGCGGTCCCAGCCCTCTTCGTCAAAAAGTACTAGCCCAAGTTTGGGTTAATACCCACCTTAATTTGAAAGGAGTGGAGGGCCTCTCCAACAGTAGGAAAAATGCCAAGGCCATGGGTAAAGCTCCACAAGGCACCAAGCCTAGTCAACACCCTCCAACTATTTGGGGTGAGTTAGGCAAAAGCAATGTTCAAGAAAGGCAAGAATTCACACACATAAGGAAGAAACAAAAATCTAAATCCAGAGTTAAAGGTTGTTACATACATACAGACCTCCTCGAAATCTCTTTCATCCCCACCAGGAGCTCTCAATAAGATGGAATCAAAAATGCAGAATTTGGAACGAAGGCGGGAAAGATCAACACCGATAATGGTACTACATACCCCCTAGGCAAAGTAACTAGGGGTTTCAAAGGCCTCTTCTCAAGTATCTTCCACAAGTCTAGCCTTTTTTATTCCCGCTTCTTGACCAGAAGATGAGGGAATTTCTAATGAAGATTTTTCAGAAGCCATGGAAGGTAAGAGCATCAAGGAAGGAAAAAGAGATAAGTGTTCTCGATTGGAAAACCTTAAATAGAGAATAGATAGCTCATTTCTGAGGAGATAGATCAAAGAGGGAAGAAAACTTTGCCAATCCAAAGGCCCTAACCATCCTTTAAATAGGTCAAGGGATAGTGGCTACAAAAATCCTACATACCTCATCTCAAAAGACGCACATTAATTGCACTTCAAGAATTTGAGAGAGGTAAAAGTTAGATTTCCAAAGGGAGGAAATCTCCACCAGCTTGGGAAACCTTATTAGGAGCAACTGGTGGTGGAAATTTAATCTCAACTAAGGAAAATGTCCTAGTTGGTACTACCTTTAGAAATGCAACCGTTGACTAACTTATTAGAGAGAAAGGAAAGCTGGAGGAAAAAATGAGCTCAAATAATCAGCTTTCCCCAACTTGGAGGGATTAGGAAATCAGAAAGATGGCAAAACTTATTCCTACTTTTAAAATAGGAATCTTATTTGCCAAAGATTCGTTTAAATACTATGAAGAAGATAAGGCAAGCAAAGGAAAAAGATAAGATCCTACCCTCAACAAGCCTTATTCGCGTGATCAACCTAACTCCTAGCACAATTAGGACTCTAGATGGCTATCCCAACAAAGGATTGAGTCCATAGAAGTCAAGCTTCCTCAATCAAAAGGAGATTAAGAAAATTCAAACTACTAAGAGAGCCTAAAGTCCACTCTCCCTAGAACACCTATCAAAATACTATAAAAGGCGACCTATGGGGTAAGACCCAGGTACGCACACTAAGCCTAATTCAATTGTTGTACCTTAATTTCCCAAATGCTAACTTGAGCATTGGAGGATCAACCCCGAAAGCACCCCTCTAGTCTTCGACTTTCTTTTCATGTACCACAACTATCGAAAAGCTTAGCCAGAGCTCAAGAAAAGGTGTAGTTAGGCCCAGATCAACTGCAAACAACTTTCAAAATAGTTGGACACATTTTTTACTCAAAACAGTTACCATGTAGCCTATTCAACATACATTGATCTAATATAATTTACTCAAATCACAATGCGATCTCCCATATCAATTATATTACAAAATCACATCTTGCATACTTATTTCATCTTTTCAGAATTCACACGATACCCTATACGTAAACCTTTTTCATATTCTTGGCTTGTATATACATCTCATGTCAGAAAAAAAAATCACAATTAGTGTTTATTGACATATTTTGTTCTATCAACAAGAATGCTCATTAATAACATAATTCAAATAGTATGTGTTGTGACAGACCCAAGATTTGAGTATCAAGGTAGACAATAAAGTGACAAAAAATAATAAGGCACACACAAATGGACATAAGAGATTTATGTGGTTCGACTATTGCCTACGTCCACGACAAACAATGATCAAATGTTTTCACTATGGAGTAAAACAAAAGTACAAGAACAATTGTTTCTTGCCTCGCAAGGACTCACTTCTACTAGAGAGAATGCACTCTGACCTCACTAATATCACTTGAATATCACTCAACTCTCTACACTCTAATATTCATAAGAGAGCTTCTGATTTTTGATGTCTTCAAAACTTCACTAGTCATCTCCTTTTATAGTGAAATGGGTGCAGAAGCTGACAAATGTCCCAGATTTAATCCGATCTATGAATTAATCAAACATTCACACATAGCCCCTAGTTTCCTATTGCAAAGGCAGGTGCAGAGACTTTATGGCTAGACCTTGGACTTTCTAGCCACAAAAAGACAAAGCTTCTAGCCATTTGGCCATTTTGTCAACAATTCTCCACCTTTCTAGAAGTAGTTCAAGTCATCTAAAAAACTCCTTCCTGATTGTCACCTTCAATGCGCCTCACAATGCACTTAAACGGGTACAATGTTGATCCAGTCTAAGCAATGCTTGCACTTAACCATTGTAATGGACCTCGTTATCATGTTTGCAAGATTCACACTAGAGATGGCTTCACAATATGTGATCGTCTTATGAGCCTCAACATTTCCTACCACACTAAATGCATAGGCAACATTATCCTTGAACTCATATCTTGAGGTGGCTTAATCTGCCTCCTTTCGTTGTCCCTAGTAAGCATGTATCCTTCGTATTGCAGAGTCACATCAGAGTCTTATTCCTCTTCTACATCTTCCTTGATTAGGACATCATCTTGCAAATCTTCTTGCAAGTTATTTGGAGCTTCCACTTTAAAATCCACCAGCTTGCTGATACCATGATCTTTTTCAATATCAAGAGACTTTTCCTTCTTGGGTTCAAGCATAGTAGACTCATTAATGGCCATGTCCCTACTGATGATATATTTGGGTGTTTTAGCATCTACACACCACAGTCCTATAACCTTTCACCCCATCTGCATACCTTAGAAATATGCACTTCCATGTCCTCGACTCAAGTTTACCATCATTCACATGAGCATAAGTAGGACAATTGAACACTCTTAAATTAGTGTAACTTGCAAGAGAACTGGACTAAACCTCTTCAAGAGTCTTGTTTTTGATTGCTATCGATAGAGACCTATTAACAAGATAGCAAGTTGTATTGAAAACTTCAGCCCAGAATTTCTTGGATAGACCAATATTTGAGAGCATGCATCATACCTTTCTCCAATAGAGTTCTTTTCATTTGTTCTATAACCCTGGTCTACTGTGGTGTTTTCCTCACCATGTACTGTCTCACGATTCCTTCTTTCTTGTAGAACTTATTGAAAGCACCTCCACAGAATTTCATGCCATTGTTAGTTCACAAGCGCTTGATCTGTTTACTTATCTGCTTCTCGATTATAGCCTTCCATTATTTGAACTTTTCAAAGACATCATTCTTGGGCTTCAATATAAATACCAAAACTTCCAAGAATAGTCATCGATAAAGGTCAACATATACCTTCCACCACCAAAAGAAGGAACATGAGAGGTTCGCCAAAGGTCGGAATGGATATAATCCAAAGTACCCTTGGTCTAATGTATATCCATACTAAACTTTACTCGACATTGCTTTTTGAATGTGTAATGCTTACAAAAGTCCAGCTTTCCAATCTTTTGGGGACACAACAAACATTGTTTACTTAGCACATCCAATCTTCTCTTACTCATATGTCCTAATCACATATGCTATAACTTGGTAGTGTATCAGCTTGAATCTGAAGATAAAGTAGCATCAGCGGCAGCTCCCACTATGCTACCCTGTAGTAGATACAGGTCATTCTATTTTTGCCTTTCATTACAACAATAGCACTTTTAGAAATCCTCATGACTCCACATCCAACTTTATATGTACAACCATTGGAATCAAGTGTACCCAAGGAAATAAGATTTTTCCTTAGATCTAGAACAAGCCTTACATCTGTTAGAGTCCTCATAATACATTAAACATCTTGATTCATATTTGTGTCATTTGTCGGCGATGTGTTGGGCTTTTACCCATCAGTATCAGAATACTCAATTAGCGGGGCACTTGTGAGAAAGCTAGAGTCAGGTCAAAGCCTGGTATATTATATTAGCAAGACCCTCCTCGATGTCGAGACGAGGCATCAGCCGATGGAGAAACTTATACTAACAATGGTCACCTCGAAAAGGAAACTCGAACATTACTTCTAGGCCTACTCCATTGAGATCCTGATAGACTAGCCTATAAGGTCCATTTTTCAACAAGTCGACATACCTAGGAGAGTTGCTAAGTAGGTTATAAAGGTCAAGGAGTTCAAGATAAAATATAAACCCTGTACATCCGTCAAAGGCTAGGTGCTGGCCAATTTTATTACAAAATTCACTACACCCGAGGATCCTATAGTGGAGGTCCCCTTGAAACCCAGCTCGCCAAATGTCCCCTAGCGTTTTCATGTTGATGGATTTTCCAACCCAAGAGGGCAAGAGTGGGTATAGTCTTAACCAACACTATGGTAATCACAATAGAACGAGCTATTTGACTTGGAATTAAAGCATCCAATAACAAAGCCAAGTATGAGGCATTTATTTTAGGACTAGAAGTGGCATTGTCTATCAAGGTCATACGTCTAGATGTGTTATATGACTCCTAGTTGATTGTTAAACAAGTGAATGGAAACTTTGAAGCATGGGATGGAAAGATGAAGGCGTATTACCAACAGGTGCAAACAAGAATAGGGAAATTTGAGGAGATCAAGTTATTTTAGATTTTCAAAGATCATAACAGTCACGCCGATGCACTAGCATGCATTGTCTCAGCATTGGCTTAAGAAGTCACTCGAAGGATAACGATAAATTACGTGGAGAGTTCCAGTATAACAAACTCTGAGGTAAAAGCCAAGGAGGTTTTTTTGGTCAATATTTGGGACACTCCCCCGAGTTTGATAGATCTCATCCTCGGGTATCTACTAACTAGGGTGCTTTCAAAAGATGTTAAAGAACCCAGGAAGATGAAGCTCAAAGTCCTGAGGTTCTGGGTCTCCCCCAATGAAAAGCTAAATAGGAAATCCTTCTTGAGACCATACCTATTATGCGTTCCTATGGACAAAGTCCAATAGCTACTTTATGACATAGATAAAGGGGTGAATGGCAGTCACACCGGTGGGAGGTCTCTTGCACATCGAGCCATGTCACAAGGGTACTGGTGGTCATATATGAAGAAGGATACAAAGAGATATGCACAGAATATGATAAAAACTTGAGGTTCATACCTATCATTAACCAAATGGCAGGCAAACTTAATTCGTAGAGAAGTCCTTGGCATTTTGCCCAATGGGGGATTGACATAGTAGGGCTGCTATTGAGGGCACCATAGAACAAGAAATTTTTTTTAGTGGCTAAGGATTGCCAGGTGAATCAAAGTTGAGCCCTTAAGCCGCATAAGGGATGTTGACACCAAAAAGTTCGTACGGCAAAACATTATCACTAGATTTGGGATACTCAAGCTCTAGTGTCAAACAAAGGCACCTAGTTTAACAGTGGCTCATTTAGAGAATTTTGCCAAGTTTCAGGATCTGCAACTATTATTTGACTCCTACATACCCACAATGCAATGGAAAGGCTGAAGTCTCTAGTAGAACAGTGTTAGCAAGGAACAAAAGAAGGTTGGAGAGGACCAAGGGGAGATGGACTTAGGAGCTACTCAATGTTGGGCATACAAGACTACCTCGAGGACTTTTATAGGAGAAACACCGTATGTAATGGTACATGGGATGGAGGCAGTCATACCTTTAGAGGTGAGGCTCCTGACTATACAAAGTCAAACATTCAACTCAGGAATAGACAATTAGACCTTAGTATGAAACCTCAACCTAGCGGAAGAAAGGCAAGAGATATCAGCTATAAGACTGGATAAAAACCAAGGGGCTATCGCAACATCATAAGAAGAGGGTCCGAGCAAGGAGTTTCCAAATAGGTGATTTGGTGCACTAAAAAGTAATGGGGGCACGCGGCAACCAATAGATGGTAACCTCGGACCCAATTTGGGAAGGCCTATATAAGGTCATTATCGTGGGACAAACAGGGTCTTATAAGCTCGAAGACATGGAATGGAACTGATTAACCTTAATTAGTATATAAATCAGAATAGTTAAATTAGTCAAATTAGTAAAATAAAATAACCAGAAACTATTAATTAGAGTCAATTAGAGTTTGTGTTATAATTAGGGTTTTATGTATGTTATGTTTAAAATTTTTAGGGGTTAATGCAAAAATACTGGAGAATATGAAGAACCAATTGTCAAGGCTTGAAACAACAAAGCCTAAAATGTAATTTCAACAAATGAAGAGTTAGCATACATGCAAGTGGAAAAATCCGGCAAGGTCACACCGTCCAGACAGTGGTGATGGCGTCTGGACGGTCTTCATTGGCGGCTGAACTTGATCCTGAATCCTCCTGCTTCCTCCTCCTCTATATAAAGCATACAAGCCTCCATTTCAAAGAAGGCCGGACACCAAGAGCTCCAGAGAGAAATCCAAAAGAGAAAAAGAGAAAGAGAAAAGAGAAAAGAGAAAAGAAAAGAGAAAGAAAAACTTGCAACTCGATCTGGTCCATTATACACTTCAGTCCAAACTCTGTACTTCCACATTTCTGTTGTATCTTTCTATTTGGATAGTTGAACTATCGTCACCTTTTTGTCATAACTGATAATAAAGGTGATTGTGTTTCAGTTGTTCCTTGTGAAAGACGTTTTAGGGTTTATATTTTAATTTCAGTTGTATTGAAAACTAGTCATACTCCTTGCTTGTCTATAGCAATGGGGCGTGAGTAGTTACTTATATCCTCTAGTGAGAGGTGAACATATGTATAATACTTGTTAAATTCTACAGATGCTGATGTTTTATATATTTATATATCTATATATTATATGCTTTATTCATGATACAGTGATGTACATAATTTTTGTGCTGTGTCTGGAATTATGTCATCAGTGAATCATCAACCTGGTTCAACAACCATGGTATTCCTATCGGTATGGTTTATCCTCCACCAGAACGCTGAGGATGTTAACTGATGCATGGTACAAAACCTAAATGATCCTTATGAATGGCTTGTCCTTCTGGATTATTAGGGTTATTTAATTACTATATATATAACTATCAGACTAATGACCTAAGTGATCCTCATAAATGGCTTGACCTTCTGGATTACTCAGATCTTTTAACTGGATAAATGATAATATTGCTAGTCTAACAACCACGAAATTCCTATCAGTATGATCTATCCTCCACCGAAACGTTGAGGATGTTTAACTAGTATATGTATCACATATAGAGTCAAATGAATAATTTAAGTATTCCTCATGAATGGCTTGTCCTTCTAGTTTGCTTGGATTAGTCAATTGACACATCTATAACCAGCTAACCTAAGAAGTTGTTATGTTATGACTAATACCACCAATTAACCTCAACAGTAGTTGTGTTATGGTTTATTATGTATACACCTACTATTATGAAGACAAATGAATAATTCAAGTATTCCTCATGAATAGCTTATCATTCTGGTTTGCTTGGATTGATCAATTGTCATGGATACCACCAGCTAAGCTAAGAGTTGTTGTGTGATGGTTTATATACATCAGACCTATTAGCTGACTTGCCAATAACATGGAAGTTGATTGTTGTAAGGTAACATTTTCAGTATTTAACTAATATAATACATATGGGATCCTTGAACTGAATGATACTTTTTATTATTGTATAAATCTATCTACAACATAACTTTTTAATTAAACTAGTTATCAATCTAAGCTCGCATCACAAGCTATCACATGATGTCCTATCTAAGATAAACAACTTTACTATTTTTATTTTATTTCCTAATTACACACACTCTTCTTGGGATCGATACTTGGACTTAAAACCGAGAAAACTATAATTCAATCACTTATACTTGGGTGTATAATATTAATCCGATCACAAGAAATTGCGAATCAAGTTTTTGGCTCCATTGCCAGGGAGTAATGGTAATTTGAAATCAAATAAGATACAAAAGTTGTTTAATTTTATTATATGTATATAAAGTGTGTTTTCTTTTTTAAATAGTTTATGTCTGTACATTCATCAGTAGGATCTAAAAAATCAGTCACCTCCTTCATCGCCATCATCTTCATCTACACAAGAATCATTTGAATTAAGTATGGCTAGAAATATACCTAGGGAAGAACAACCTAGAGAACAAGAAGTAGTTCAAAATATCTGACCATTAAGAGAATATTTACACCCTACACGAACTAATATCCCGTCATGTTTTGCTTTTCCAACAGATGTTCCAAATCTTAATATTAAGTTAGGAACAATCCAATTATTACCATAGTTCCATGGTCTAGAAACTGAAAACCCTTATGTTCATATGAAAGAATTTGAAGAAGTCTATGGAACATTGCAAGATAATTTTGAAATGATTAGACTAAAACTATTTCCTTTTTCTTTAAAAGATAAAGCAAAACAGTGGCTTAGCTCTTTAAGAGCTAATTCATTCACAAACTGGAAAGCTTTGTAAGCTGAGTTCTTTAATAAGTTTTTTCTATACATCACACAAATACATTAAGACGTCAAATAATGAATTTTTTTGTAAAAGAAGGTGAAACTTTTTATTAATGTTGGGAAAGATTTAAAGATCTTCTCCAAGCTTGTCCACGTCATGCATTTGAAAACTAGACCTTAGTTGGTTTTTTCTATGATGCTCTTCCACCTGCAATGCGACAACTTGTTGAAATGATGGTGTAGGGGGAATTCATGAGTAAAAATCCTGAAGAAGTATTTCAAAGGAAGCACAACCCTTGAAAAGATAACACAAGCATTGCACTTGGTTGTTTAGGGTATGACCCCAAGAAAGGTAAGCCTTCTCAAAGGAAACACTGCCCTCAAAGAGAACACAAGCCTTGCTCTCAACCTTTAGGGGTATGAACCCGAGTCAATAAGAAATACAAGAGCTATTTAAAAGGACGAGGTCTAGTCAAACAACAAGAAGAAACTTCACTAACATAATGGGTGCTTTGCATCCCCCAAGGCAAATGTATACAAAAAAGAGAGAGAAGCCAAATTCAAAGTAAACAAAAGATCCTAAGGCTAAAAACCCTGCTGGGTCATAATCTGAATTTATATTCTTCGCCTTCCAAATCATTTTCCCTATGACCTCGGTCACGCTACCTCTCGAGAACGTCATTATCCCCAAGTTCAGCAAACATCTCATCCATCTCATCAAAGTTTCCAAGACCAGGATAGACTATAGGAGTTTTGGGAACCTGGGAATTCACAAGGAGAGCAAAAAATGGATGGGGAAGGAAGCCCTAGGGGAGACATTGCAAAGTTCCTTAAGTCGCTATGCAAGATAGAATCGACGGTCGCCCCTATCCTCATCGCACCCTAGAATGCCTCCTAATAACCCACCTCCTACTCGGGTGGATCCTTCTCTCACTAGGGTCCACTGCCTCCTTGAGGACTTATAGGGGAATATAAGGGTGCATCGAGAAGAGCTCAGAGTCGGGGTCTCACCCAATAGTTTAGAGGGTATCATCCCATCCAGCCTTGAGGGATTTGTTTTGGCCATCTATAAAGGCTAGGAGGAATTGGTCCTAGCATTGATTGAAGACCTCCAGACGAATGCCATTCTCCCTCTCCTCAGCCCCTATATTCTCTCTCTCAAGACCCTCCGCTTTGGAAGTCAAGACAGTGTAGTTAACCTCAGCCTCAGCTTTAGAGGCTTTGTTCTTCTCAAGCTCTAAATACAGAGCTTCATTTCTCATGATCAGCTCTCGGATGTGTTTCACTTGATTGGAAACAATTTTCTCCACTTGTCTGATATCACAATCCTTCTTATCAAGCTCAATTTGGTGGCGTTGGCTTTGGTCTGATAAGCCCAGAAAAGGTCTATGATGAACCCCATCTATTGACAAGCCTCAGATCAAATACAAAATGTCAAGAGAAACAAAGGGAGGTAAGTCAAGAGATGACATCCAAACCCGTACATAGTTTACCACCAAGTTGTGGTGAATGAATCCCTATAGGAAATGGTTGTCAGGATACTCTTAGTGGACAGCCATGTCAGCCTCAAATTACAGCGATCCACTAACTGCGAGAGCCTTATTAGCCAAGGGGATGATAGGGTCTAACTGTAACATGACATTACCTTTGTGAGTGATGGCCCGTGGGTTCCATTCCATGGTGGCAATGTCCTCAGGTTTGTGGTGGTGTTGATGTTTGACCCGACACTCAGTGGTAAGGTCATCCTACCACCCTCATCGTTACCCATGAGGGGCCCAGACTTGTTCAGGCAGTAAGGGGACTTGTCTAGGAGGGGAAATAACTTGATGGTGTTGCTGCTGTTGCTGTGTTGTTGTGGTTGTTATTGATGTTGATACTGTTATTGTAGGCTAGGTAGAGCGACGATCTTGGAGACCCTGTCTGGACCAGAGGTGAAGACCATATTAGCCATCGTGATGGCCTACAGGCTTTCAATGATAATGAGAAGGAGATGAAACATCTCGACTTTGGGATCGAATGCATATGGGGTAGCCTTAGAGTCCCGATCAGGATCTCTTTCTAGATCCTCCTACTCATCTCTTGAAGAGTGGTCTGACCAAAGAGATAGGTTGAACAGACAGAGACCTGTGAAAAACATGTGTAGCCAGGTCGATAACCTAAAATTACATGAGCAGCCCGAGCAAAAGGATTCTCCGATTGGTACGTCCACACCTTTACGAGATCATCAAAGGCAACCAATGCTTTAAAAGGCTATGCAGCCTCTCTCTTGTAGCCCTTTTCACACAAACAAAGAAAAAGGTAAGTAAGGTGTATAGACTTAGAGGGATCAAATGCAATGTGATGGAAACTGACGCACCTAGCCCCCTTATTTCCTTAGGGTAGTAGAGGTCGTCGTACTAGGGTCCATCACTAGTCTCCCATCTTCCACTAACCATGAGAAGGTCTAGGGTGTAGCCCTTGTTCGAGCTGGTTATATATGTGTGGTGGGGTCTTGGCATTTGAGAAAGAATTTTTGGTTATTGGCTTTCCTCATGTTATAACAAAAATGAATTTCATCGACCTCGAGGTTGATCCCCAATCGACTATTGAGGGCAATGACACCCATCACCACTTTGAACAGATTTATACAACATTGGCCAGGGAAAAGATGGAATGCATAAGGAACTAAAGAAGAAGGGATGGAAGAGGGAACTTCATGCTGCCTTCCATGATTGCTTAGTATGAAAAGGGCATGAAGTCTAATGACCCTACATCTACCTTATGAATTGAGGGGAAAAAATAGGGTTGACACACTTTTGGGGATATTTTAGGTGGACCTAAAGTCATTTAAAGTGGACTTGTCCACTTTGGTTTTTCTAAGTTTTTTGCTTCTCCTAAATGTCCCAAGGATTCTGGTTCTAAGGGGTCTAGCTATTGGCATTTTTACAAGAGATGAAAGAGGAGAAATAAAGGAGATGAATGGATGAGGATACTTACAAAAACTGCAAAAGCTAGCCTCAATGAAGAACTACTAGGGAGAAAATGGGTCTAATAAAGTAAATCATCTAAAAGTCTCTTTGAGCCTAACCCCCATGCCCTATTTATACTAAGCCATGAGAGGGGTGGCAATCAAGAAGGTGATGGTAATAATTGAAATTCAAAAATAGGCGACAAGTAGGCATGTAACCACCCCTGAAAGGGAGGCATGCTGAGGAATCCTCCATCCCCCTCGTGACACTTATCCCATGATGTCAGGAAAATGAATGCTGGGGGGGTAGTTGACGGGACATTTGTAGCGATCCAATTATATGTTGATATGTATTGATCCATGGTAGTCTAGGCAATTAGGACCTTTTGGACCCAAGGAGCACAATGTACCTCGAGTAGTAAATGGCTTGTACCCGAACCCCAAGCAGCGTGTTGAAGTAGGGTGGTTATATAGAAGTCGGGGGAACTATGAGGTTCTTGGGTCTAGGTCTAAAAGTACTCGGCCCCAGCCCGAGCACTAGTTATGAGATGGTCAAAATGATCAAGTTGGAGTCATTATTGTGCTGCTCACACCGACATGTTAAACCTTAACATCAGGTCAGCTTGCATTAATGAGGTGTGACACAGGCACTCATTATGCTAGGCAAATGAGTTAGGACATTAATAGCAAAGCTATGAAAGACATCATGATAGTCACAAGTATAAATAAATAGCAAAATCACGAAATGAAGGTATGTAAGCTAAAAATTGTTGGAGTTTTACCCAAACTCTCCAAGTGTTTTATTCCTTATTTATTTGGTATTAATTTAAAATTAGAATTTTAATGGGTTTACAATTATTGTCTCATGTAATATCCTAGTTAGTTTAGGACTAGTTTATTAGTTAAAGTCTTAAAGTTTCTTTATGGTTGTAATTAGAATGACAGAAGCTTAGATAGAATAGTAGAATATGTTTTTGGTTTTTTGATGTGAACCTTTGACACTGTCCTCTTTCTTCATTTTCTTTAGTTCTTTTTTTCATTGATTTCTTGTTTTATTTTCTTGGGCTTTGATTAAATCTTAGTGTGTGTGAGAGAGATATTTGAGTGCTTGATATTATTTTGAGATCCTACATTTGGTGTCAAAGCCAATTTCAAAGATGGCAAACAGGAACGAGTTCATTCAATGCCCGGTTGGAAAATTTGATGGCAGGTCTAATTTTTAACATTAAAAAATACATATGGAGTTATTTTTCAAGGTCATGAACTTTTCAGATATTGTGACAAACAGGTTCATAGATCGTGGAGATCTACCAACTCACACAAAAGCCCAAAAGGATGAATTGGGAAGTAATCGAAAGAAAGACAGTAGAGTGTCGATGTATATCTTTAGAGCAATTGATTCCTCAATTTATGACAATATTGCTCATGTTTCAACGACAAAGACAGCAGGGAATGTCTTGATCAATTGTTATACTAGACAAGATAAGCAAAAAAAGTTTGGTTGCAGGGCCTACATAGATAATATGAGCTTCTTTAGATGAAAAAATCATAGAGTATATCTGATTATTTCTTGTGGACATTAGTTATTGTTAATCAGATGAAAGCCAACAGTAAGAATATAAAAGATCTTCAAGTTATGGAAAAAACTCTTCAGACCTTATTAATGAGGTTCTAATATATTGTCTCAGCTATCATGAAGTCAAAGGATCTTGATTCCCTAATAGTTAATAGGTTGATGGGTTACCTACAAGCCCATAAAAAAATATTGATATTTTAGGAAAACAAGCTTTGCAGACTCAAATGAGTTTCAAGAAGGAGAAGGATGAGTCCTGATAAGAGAGTTTTATACCTACGAATTGAGTACTTTCGGCATAATGAAATTGTGAGTTTTCAATTATTTTATGTTCATTTTTATTTATTTTGTGTGTTTTAATGTTATTTTGTAGGGATGATCATTTGGAAGGAATCATGATCAATTGGAAAGAAACAAGGTCAATTTAGAGCCAAAATGGTGGATTTTTGGAAGAGGGAGCTAAAGGGCAATTTTAGGCCTACAGAGGGGGGCGCAGCCCTGGGCCAACCTACTGTCCCTATGGCGCCCCTGCATTGATTTCTGGCGCCCTCGCACTTGTGTTGGTCCGTAACGCAAATTTTACCTTATTTTTTACCTGAAATTGGACTCTAAAGCTACATATATACTAGGGTTTGTGTGGGGATGATATATTCTAAATTTTGGGGGCTGAAAAAATCTGGAAAAACCAAGGAATTGGAAGAAAATTGAAGACAAAAATCGAAGGAATCGACACGAAGAAGATTGGTCTTGAAAGCTAGAGAATGATTGAATATTGCACCTAAGTTTTTATTCTTTTCTCTTACTTTTATTTCTTGATTTCCTAAGATGTTGTTTAATTTTAAAATGATGTTTTTCAATTACATTATGAACTAAATTTTTATTAAGATTGCAATGGAACCTATGTCTAGTTAAATTAATCTACTCTCGTTTCTAGTTCTTATTGATCTTATATGAGTTGTTTGTCATATTTTGTGATTGATGTATGACTGTGTGGCCAAAAATTAGCTTGAAAACCTAGATGAAATTGGAAGATGAATTCTAGGTTTAGATCTGAATATGATGACATGCAAATTAATCTACTCTCGTTTCTAGGTCTTATTGATCTTATATGAGTTATTTGTCATATTTTGTGATTGATGTATGATTGTGTGACCAAAAATTAGTTTGATAACCTAGATGAAATTGAGAGATAAATTCTAGGTTTAGATTTGAATATGATGACATGCGTTTGGTTAATTCTTCTTAGGATTGAATAGCTGGGTTTGTGTATAGGATAGGAATATACCTATATGCCGTGCGTAACTTTTATAAGAGTTTGAACTTAATAAATCTATTTCAACTTATTTTGCATAGGAATATAATAATTTAATTGGGATAGATAATTTTATCTAACTATCGGAAGAGGTTTAATAAATAACTTTGAATTATCAGTTAACAACTTATTTTGATCAATTAACTGGAAAGAGAGTTAGAAAGATTTATACGAAGCATTAGGGGAAGTTGTAATCTTAAGTTCTTTTACCCGATAAATTCAACCCTTGATTAGTAATTTAGGTTTAGTTTTAAATTAGTAAATTCATAGTTAAATTTCAGTTGTTTAAATAAAATTGAATTGATATAAAGTTAGTACTTAAAATTTGTTAGCAATAATTCTCTGTGGGAAAGATACTCTATTTATCACTTTATTACTTGTTGATCGTGTATACTTGCACATAAATTGTCAATACCAAATTCGGTCAACAAGTCCCATAACAAATTCCAATCAAATTAGAAGTATTAGCATTCAAATAACCAAGGTACCTGATAAAACAAATCTGGTGGAGAAAAATACAAATGTAATAATTGAGGTGAACAACGTGATAAATTCAAGATAAAGTGCTACTATTATGGAAAATTATGGCACTATAAAAAGGACTTCTACAAATTAAGGAGAACCGATTATAAGAATTATCATGCTAAAATTGCAGAGGGCAATGATAATAATTTTGAGGCTTTATTTTTGGCTGATAGTACAATGAATGACGTTCAAAAGAATAAGTGATATTTGAATTCAGGCTGTAGTAATCACATGTGTGGTTATAGGGAGATGTTTACTGTATTGGATGAATCTATTCAATTAGACATTAAATTTGGAAATGGTGCAATCATCCCCACAAAGGAAAAAGGTAAGATTTCTATCAAATTAAAAGATAGGTCTTTGAATCTTATTTCAGATATTTATTATGTTCACAGTCTTAACCACAATTTATTGATTATGGAGCAGTTGTCAGAAAAAGGTGTATGATATGAGAATTTTTAATGTTGTTTGTACAATCAGTAACAACCATAAGGTACTAATAGCAAATGTAAATATTGCACCCAATCACTTGTTCCCTTTTAATTGTCAAAATTTACCTTACTTTAGTTCTAAAATTTCTAGGGATAATTGATTATGACATATATGGTTTGGGCATGTAAATTTTCATAGCTTAAATTTCCTTGTCCGGAAAAAAATTGATTTTTGGTTTGCCTACTATTAATATTCTTAGTTAAGTTTGTGAGGCTTGTGTTTTGGGCAAAAACATAGAGACCCTTTTCTAATAAATAAGCTTGGTAGTCAAGAAGACCCCTTGAATTGATTCACTCTGACTTGTGTTCAGTTGAAGTTTCTTCCAATGGTGGGAGTAGATATTTTATTACCTTTATTGATGACTTTAGTAAAAAGACTTGGGTGTATATTTTAAAAAGAAAAATCTGATGCATGTGATACATTTAAATATTTTAAGGCTTATGTAGAAAGATAGAGTGAGAGAAAAATTAAAGTTTTGAGGATTGACAGAGGTTAGGAATATACAGTTTGTGATATTTTTTGAGAAATCATGGTATTAAGCATTAGTTGATAGCCAAGTATACTACCCATCAGAATGATATGGCAAAAAGGAAACATAGAATTGTTATGGATATGGTTAGATGTATGATGAAATCCAAAAAAATGCCTAAAATTTTTTGGGCATAAGCTTTTGTGCTATTTATGTTTTGAACAGATCCTCTACCAGAAATTTTAAGTGAAAAACTCTCTATGAGATTTGGAGTGGTCAGAAGGCTAGTATTCAACATGTGATGGTGTTTGGTTGTATTGTCTTCGCCCATGTTCTTAATCCACTCAAGAAAAAGCTTGAGGACAAGGCTGAAAAGTGTAATGTTATTGGGTACAATTCAGTTACAAATGGGTACAAGCTTTATAATCCTATAACAGAAAAAGTGATTATTAGCAAGAATGTCACTTTTGATGAGTAGGGTGTTTCGGATCGGTCCCAAAAGGAAGACAAGTAAACCTCACTTGTTCCTTTTGATGTTAATGATTCAATTAGTGATCAGTCAGTTGAACAATCCTTAGTTGTTCAAGCCCCACTACCACAGTCATCTAGGCTTTCACAATATGAACAACACATGTCAGCTAGATTGGAAGATTATGTGATTGGCACTGACAGTGATCCTTCATATGAGGACTTGATAAATTTTGCTATATATATAGATTGTGATCATATTTCTTTTAATGATGCATGCAAGGAGAAATATTGGGTGAAAGCAATAGATGAAGACATTCATGCCATTGAGAAAAATAATACAGGGGAGTTTATTTCTCTTCCCAAGGGAAAGAAATTTATTGGAGTTAAATGTGTGTAGAAGACCAATACAAGTCAAACAGAGAGGTTAATCACTTCAAAGTGAGGTTAGTAGCCAAGGGTTGCAAACAAAAACCAAGTATTGATTATCTTGAGGGTTTTGCTCCATTGCTAGGCTTGATACTGTTCGTATGATTTTTCACTTACTAATAATAATTTTTGGAAGATATTTCAAATGGAAGTGAAATCTTCTTTCTTGAATGGTGTTCTAGAGGAGGAAGTTTATGTTGAGCAGGTTGGTTATGTGAATAAAGGGGAAGAAACACAAAGTCTATAAGTTGAAAAAGACTTTGTATGGGCTTAAACAAGCCCTTAGAGCTTGGTATACCCGAATGGATTCTTATTTTGTAGAGAATAATTTTTAGAGATGTCCCTATGAACTCTCTTTGTATGTCAAACTAATTCTCATAGAGATATTATTATTGAGTGTTTGTATATGGATGATCTTATTTTCATAAGGGATCAATTCGGGTAATTGAGAAATTCAGGGAGGTGATGATTTCACAGTTTGATTGGCAGATATAAGTGTGATGTTTTATTTTCTTGGAATTGAAGTAAATCAGACAGACAATGATATTTTTATTTTCCAACAGAAGTATGTTGGAGATATCCTTAAATGATTTAGAATAGATTCTCGCAATTCTATTTTGACTTCGATTAAAGAAATATTAAAATTAGGTAAAGATGAGATGGTGAGTTGGTGAATTCCACATATTTCAAACGATTGGTTAGAAGTTTATGTTATTTGACTTCCACAAGACCTGATATTATTTTTGTAGTTAGTCTTATCAGTAAATATATGGAGTCACCAGGTCAATCTCACCTACAAGCAGTAAAAAAGATTTTGAGGTATGTTAAAGACACGCAAAGTGATGGTATTTTTTATTCTCCTATTGGTTCTTGTGAACATTTAGGGTATACAGATAGTGATTGGGGAGGTGATGTGGAAAAAGTAAAAAGTACTTTAGGGTATCATTTTCAAATTGGTTTATAATTTTTTTCCTGGTCTTCAAAGAAATAACAAGTTGTTGTCTTATCTATTGCTGAGGCAGAGTATCATGCAGCCACCAGTAGTGCTACAGTGGTAGTGCGATTGTGTCGTATGCTTGGATTTTGCAGCATGCATAGAAAATTCTTTTAAAAATTTTATGTGATAACAAGTCAAGTATTTCATTGTCAAATAATCCAGTTTCATGGGAGGACCAAGTATATTCATGTGAAGTACCATTATATTCGTGACTTAGTTATTGATGGCGAGATTAAAGTATTGTATTGTCGATCTGAGGATCAGATTGTAGATATTTTTACCAAACCACTTAAATTAGATGCATTTGTGAAACTAAAGTGGATAATGAGGATGATCAACATTGAAAAATTTGGTTTAAGGGAGACTATTGGAGTTTGACTCAAACTTTTCAAGTGTTTTCTTCCATATTTATTTGGTATTAGTTTACAATTAAAATTTTAATGGGTTTAAAATTATTGTCCCATGTAATATCCTAGTTAGTTTAGAATTAGTTTATTAGTTAAAGTTTTAATAGAAAATGATGATGCACAAATTGAGTTTATGCACTACCGGTCAAGTGATTAATAATTAATGCAGTAGTAAAGTAGAAAAAGAAAATAATTCAAGCGAGACAAGGATGTAGAGTGGTTCGGTCAACGTGACTTACGTCCACTATCAAGGGTTAGGGTCAACTAGGTATTTTATTACTTCAAGGAGTGTAGGGAGAATATGGAGATATAAGTTATGAGAGATAGGATATAGTGATAGCAGATGTGCTCGATTGTGTGTGATGTCCCAAGTATTGGTGGGACTTACAATTTATATTTGTCTCTTAACAGATTGAGACGATTTATCAGTAACTAAGTGACTAATCTGGTGGAGCAGGCGTCATCTTTTAAACGGATGAAACAGTTACGACGTTTTCTATAAGATTCGGTCAAAAAGATGACGTGGTAGTTGACTTTTTTCAAGGCGGCCTGAATGAGACTCTTGGATGACACTACTTATTCTCTTGGTGATGTAGCTTCTCAAACCTTGATTAGCTTGACCGGGCGTAAACCCCTTTAATCTGGATTTACTAAATCTCTTTAAATTGGACTCTTAATTTAAATTGAGCCTATAATATAAGTTGGGTCATTGAGGCTAGCCCATCAGAATATGCTTTTGGTTTTTTGCCGTGAGCCTTAGACACTGTCCTCTTTCTTTATTTTCTTCAATTTTTTTATTTCTTTATTTTTTGTTTTATTGTCCCAAGCTTTGATTAAATCTTTGTATATTTGTAAGATATTTGAGTGTTTGCTATTATTTTGAAATTCTATAAAAATGATTTGTATTAAATACTCTGCACAGACGACAATCAGTATCTCAACTCATTATAGAAACTCTCCCGTGCTTGATATAGAAATTTATTCCGTGGACTGCAGTATCGGTTGACCACAAAAACAGACAGAGATGGTACCGGAACGAAATAAGATTAGACAGGAGGGGCAACTTATAAGCATGGCACACTATGAAAATGATCTAGAGCGTTCCAGCGTACGACAACGAAAACGGCATTTTATGAGTAGAATCGACGACTGACATGAAGTCGAAGCTTCAAGAGTAAAAAGGACCGTCTATTCGCAACCCCACACAACATCTCTATATTTTAGAAACCCAATCTCCCACTCGCATACTCTATCTGGAGAGGGGAGAGTTCCTCATAAAAAGCTTTTAACTTCTATATAGCTAAACCTTCACGCCTCGCTTTCTTCGCTGCTAAACCCTAACTCACTAATTGCCGCTTTCCGGTAAGCTTTCAGGTCTTCTCATTGTATTTAAACCCAAAGTTGACCACTGGTTGTCAATTATTTTAGCTTGCATGTATGTACTAGATATATACACATTCACGGCGTGATGTGCTGTTTGTTCGTATGTTCCTGAAGAATCGGGAAATGAACTTCAGATTCATAAAAGAATTAGTTTTTGGATTTCCTTTTGAATTATAGTTTCTTGGACGAAAATGGTGGTAAGATTATACTTTATCCTGCTTGGATTTCGACTAGTTTGGTTTGATTTAGCTGAGATTACAGATTTCTAACATCTTGAAAAGATTATGGATAAAATGCTCTTTTTTCAATTTTCTTTGCCTTTTCTTTTGGTTTCCAAAACGTATTGACTCAGAATAGTTCTATTTACTGGGCGAAGACGTGTTCGTACTTTTTTGACGATTCAAATGCTGAAATTTCGGTATACTGCCATTGGGTGCTATTTTGTGAAAAACATTCTATAAATCTGTTTTTTTATTGTGGAATAATTAGATATAATGGTAGTGTGTGATTTAATTGAGTTTTTGAGTCAGAAAGCTCCAGGTTTTGTGTCCACGACCTAAGCAGTGTGCTGAATTTATTTAGCATTAAATTCTTGAAAAATCAGCTTGCTGTGTGTGAATCCCACGGTAATTAGCTCAGATTTACTAGCCCAACTGCACGTCAAGCTTGTATTTACTTGAAATTTTGTTCTTCGAATTTTCAATTGGTATCTTTGGCTTAAGAAATGAAGAGTGATTACATCATTGGTTAATCATTTTCTGGATCTATCTGCCCCTCCTCTCATTATACCCATATTATGATTGCTCAAGTGTAAGTTGATGAGATTTCTAAGAATAGTTTGATTCATTATATCAGCTTTTAAGGAGTAAATGGCCTCGACTTTTGCTAGCATGTGCTCGGTTAGCTTCTTGGCTGCTCCTAGCGGCCCAGTGATGGATAAGAAACTTGCAGCTTCTTCAAACAAGTTCCTTGCAACTTCTTCAAACAAGTTATCATCTTTTGCTTCAATATCTTCAAGCTCATTTGGCAGGAGACAAAGTATAGTTCTTCGAAGAAGAACACGTTTTTCCCAAATAACCGCTGCAGCAAAGGAGTTGTATTTTAACAAGGATGGGTCAGCTATTAAAAAGCTGCTGGTGAGTTTATAAACTAGACATTACCATTTGTGTATCGCTGAAGTTTTTTCTGCAGGCAATTTATAACAGTTCTTTTGTTTTGTTTTGTTTTGTTTTGTTTTTCTCAGAATGGTGTGAACAAGCTTGCAGATCTAGTTGGGGTTACTCTTGGTCCAAAAGGCCGGAATGTTGTTTTGGAGAGCAAGTACGGCGCTCCAAAAATTGTTAACGATGGAGTCACTGTGGCCAAAGAGGTATTAAGGATCTTCAGCATTTATTGTTGTTATTGTTTTATTAGATAGGTTATTGGACAAGCTATACATTTCGCATATCGAGGTAGTTTGTTATCTCAAACATTTTTGTTTTAATGACTTAATACATTTTTGGATTCTCTTGATCCATCTTACACTTGGAGAAATCAGTTATCCAAGTTGATGCAGGCAAGAATGTAGTGTAAAATTGTTGCACTCATATATTTAGCATACCGCAGCATATAATCATTAGGTATTCTATTGTTTCCTCAAGCAACAACTTGTGTCTCAGGTCATACGATTGGTGTTCTCTTTTCATTCATTAACTGGAATCCGCAAATGAAATCAATCTCTTGGGGACTGACCGCTAGTCATGTGTGTTTCTTCACAGGTTGAGTTGGAGGACCCAGTGGAGAATATTGGGGCAAAATTGGTGAGACAAGCAGCTTCCAAGACCAATGACTTGGCTGGGGATGGGACAACAACATCTGTTGTTCTTGGACAGGGCCTTATTAATGAAGGTGTCAAGGTCTGTTTGGTGTTTTGTATGCTACTCACTTTCTGAGGAAGTCCAGAAAGCATGGTACTCAAAGTAATGTTGACTGTCTTTTTTAACTAACTCACATCACATTTTCAGGTGGTAGCAGCTGGTGCAAACCCTGTCCTAATCACCAGGGGCATTGAGAAGACCACAAAAGCTTTAGTGTCTGAGCTTAAATTGATGTCTAAAGAGGTAATTTAAATTGTTCTCTAAAAGTTGCTTGGGTTTATCATAGAATGAGTGAATTTAACTGAGTGAGCATGAATTTGCAGGTGGAAGACAGTGAACTAGCAGATGTGGCTGCAGTTAGTGCTGGGAACAACTATGAGGTAGGAAAAATGATAGCAGAAGCTATGAGTAAAGTAGGTCGGAAGGGTGTTGTGACCCTTGAAGAGGGAAAAAGTGCTGAAAATAGTCTCTACGTGGTAGAAGGAATGCAATTTGACCGTGGGTATATCTCTCCTTACTTTGTCACTGACAGTGAGAAAATGGCTGTTGAATATGAGAACTGCAAGGTTGGCATTCTCCTTAAGTCTCTTGTGGAATATAGGGCAGTTTTGCAATCACTAGTGAAGCTTTTTTGTTTATTTATTTCCAATGGTTGGTTTTGGGTTATGCAGTTACTATTAGTTGACAAGAAAATCACAAACGCAAGGGATCTTATTAACATTCTGGAAGATGCTATTAGAGGTGGTTATCCAGTTTTAATAATTGCAGAAGATATTGAGCAAGAAGCTTTGGCAACTCTAGTTGTCAACAAGCTTAGAGGGGCCTTGAAGATTGCTGCACTCAAAGCTCCTGGTTTTGGTGAAAGGAAGAGCCAATATCTGGATGACATTGCTATTCTCACTGGAGGTGACTTTTGGCATCCTCTTATTTTCCCCCGGCTTCTTTTTTGTCTACTGTAAATAATAGCCCTTCTAGGTCCTGTTATAATTTTACATTTTCCCCTTAGTTCCATTTTATGGTTTTCCTACTGTGGTAGCTTAGTTACCTCTTCTTTACAGTTATTTCATTTTTGTTCTCTCTCCTTTTTTCTTTCTTTCTTTCTTTTTTTTTCCCCCCGCCCTGGGTGGTGTTTTTTTGTTTTATTTTTCCTTCTCCTTCACATCAAGTCATAAATTCTATTGAGATACAGGGACTGTGATCAGAGATGAGGTCGGGCTTGCCTTAGACAAGGCGGACAAAGAAGTTCTGGGCCATGCTGCCAAGGTGGTGCTTACCAAGGACACAACCACTATTGTTGGTGATGGGAGCACCCAGGAAGCAGTAAATAAGCAAGTTGCACAAATAAGAAATCTCATAGAGGTCTCTGTCACTGTCTCACTTATTCACTCATGCACACACATGCACAGATACATACACACATAAAAAAAAAGTTGAATTACCAAGAGAGCTGATTCTAATCAGTTAGGTTTGTTCAAGCAGACTTCAGAGCAAGACTATGAGAAGGAAAAACTCAATGAAAGAATAGCAAAACTCTCTGGAGGTGTTGCTGTCATTCAGGTAACTTGGTGTATGTCACATTTAGTTTAGATTGTTGATACACCAAAAACAATATTCAAATTTGTGTTCAATTACTGTGTTTTATTATTTTAAGGTTGGAGCACAAACTGAAACAGAGCTGAAAGAAAAGAAACTCAGAGTGGAAGATGCTCTGAATGCAACAAAGGTAATTGTAGAGTTCCTTGGTTTTATATGCTTTTAAATTTTCATGGTTTTGTATGCTTAAAAAAATCTTCCCTCCTTAAATACACTGGGAGCTAGAGCATAATGTTTAATTTTATATGGCAATTTAAATGGTGTTCAGGCAGCTGTTGAGGAAGGTATTGTTGTTGGTGGTGGATGCACTCTGCTCAGGCTTGCATCAAAAGTTGATGCCATTAGGGAAAGCCTCGATAATGATGAGGAAAAGGTAACTTATGTTGTAAGTTGGACTAAATTTGTTTGAAATTTTGAATAGAGGGGACATGCATTGTGTGTTCTACACCTCATTGTACCCTTTTTTTGGGAGGACGAAAAAGAAAGAGAGAGAGAGTGGGGAGGATGTTTTTCATAGAGGGTTGTTACCTCCTCCTGTGATACGCTTTCATTGTGCCCAGTGGCAATAAATGGAGAAGAGAATTTTCAACCAAAATTACCTCACTGTCTAAACCAAAATTAGAACTGATGCTGGTTGAAATTTGTCATTTTGAATTGGATCGGATAACGGGATGAACCACCATCAGGGTTTTCTAGGCTTGGTGGTTTATTAAAGTGCTTATTGCTAATATCAAGTTGCATTTGCAGGTTGGAGCAGATATAGTCAAGAGAGCCTTGAGTTACCCTCTAAAGTTAATTGCCAAGAATGCTGGTGTCAATGGAAGTGTTGTCAGTGAGAAGGTACACGAATTGCATCATTATCTAAGCATCTCATATAAAAGGGAAAAAAGAGTGTTATGACACATGTTGTTGGCTTTATCATTCTGATGACATATTCTGTAATTTTCCATTCAGGTGCTCTCCAGTGACAACCCAAAATATGGATACAATGCTGCTACTGGAACATATGAAGATTTAATGGCTGCCGGAATAATTGATCCAACCAAGGTCAGCATCTATAAAACTAATTTTTCAGATGACAGCTGAATGGGTTATAGAGGGGAAATGGGAGAGGGAACTCGAAGGGGAGGTAGGGATGGCAATGGACCGAAGCGTGGGCAGGGGTGTAGTCTCCATTCCGGCATCCGGTTAAAAAAACTCAGTTCATCTTTGGTCCATCCCTGTTAACGGGTATAATTTTCATCCCCAACCCCGTCTGCGGGTAAATTTGTTCTACTCCAGCCCCGCCCCCGCCTTCGAGCCCAAGTCCAAGTCCAAGTCTAACATAATCTAACATTATAAATAATCCAAAAAATAAAAAAAATTGCATGTCACCAATTAAAAATTATCACATAATTCTTCTCATTAATAAAGACTAGCATTTGGTATACTAAGTAACCAAGAAATCTATCCATCACTTTTCAAGCAAAAAATCTATCCAACAATTTTTAAAGAGCAAAAATTATATTCAATAAGAATAAACTCAAAAATCAGCAAAAACTATATCTAACACTATATTCAAAATTCAACAAAGACCATATTGAAGTAGTGTAAAATTAGAAAATTTGAAATATTGCATATCTACACAAAAAATCAGATGTACCACATGAAAATTGCATATTTAACCAAAAAAAAAAAATAGAACAAGCAACATCTAAAAACCTTGTATGTAACATACCATAGATTCAAAATAAAAATTCTCAATAGCTAACACAGTACAGACCCTAAATCTAACAAAATCCATCACAAATCTAACAAAAAAGATCGCAGATCTAACAAAAGCCATAAAAAATAATACAACGATAATAAATCTTACCTTATTGGACAAAGAAAAAAAAGTGAGCCACTGAATTTTGATATTAACTTTATAGGTGAGTTGGGAATGAAATTGGGATTTATGATCTTATACACATATATATCACGGTTTAGTGGAGCGGAGCGGGGCAGGGGTAAGTGTCAGTTCATCCCCACCTCCATCCCTGTGAGGGTTTATATAGGTATCCGTGTATACGTCTACCGTTCAATACGTAGACGTGGACGAATCTCCGATCCAAATAGAGCGGATTGGACGAATGCCCATTTTTTTCCGGTCCACTGCCTTCCCTAGGGAGAGGCGAGGAAGAGAGGGAGAGTAGATGGAATCTTCCATTTGGGTATAGATATTGGAATAATTAAGAGTGCCTTTGTCCCTCCATTTGTAGTTGGTTAATGTTTTGGTAGCCTTGATAACACCAACACGTGTCGTACGCATTGTTAACGTGTTTTGGTAGCCTTATTAACACCATCACATTATAATGAAGAGTCACAACCTAAAATTACAAAATCATTTGGATTTAAAAAAAATTAAATATAATTATGTTTAGTTGACAAAATTATTCTAATTAGATCAAATTGAGTGACCGAGAGGGGAGAGAAAAAGTGATTAGGGAGGGTGTGACTCGATTATTTTGTAACCCTCTAGTAACTATTTTATTCTCTAGGGATAGGCGACTGACCTTTATTTGAGGCCCAGAGAATCAACAACAATACTACAATACTATGTTACTCCCTTGACACTTTTTGACCAATTTGACAGTTATATTAATGTTGTCTACTCTAGCATTAAGTTTTCAAATCTTAAAAAGAATAGTGGTCTTGCTAAAAGAAATGTTTTAAGACTACAAAAGACATAATATATCTATTGACCTATTTATTTTTGACCGTCTTTAATTTTATCAGTTGCATGGAGAGCGCATTTTGAGATATAACAAATGTGAAATTTCAGTCGTATAACCTAATGAGTAATAAAAAGGTAATTAATAATGTGAATTAGTACAAATTAAAGATATTTTTAATGATATTGATAATTAAGTTAACATGTAACGCCTTCCAAAAATGTAAAAGTGGTCGAAGTCATATGTAAATGATTGTAATTAGCTCTAATTTTTTTATGAATGATTGTGAACAGTCTTTTTTTTACTGTTTTATTCCTTGGAGAAACTATGAATAATGTTTTTTTTGTTCTTTTTATGTATAGTGAATTTTCTAAGTATCAAATATGATATAAATAATATGCTTATCATCTTAAAATTTTATCGGTTAGGAAAAAAAATAAAATTAAGTGCCCACCCTAGGAAGATTTTTTGGCTCTGCCCCTATTAACGTGTTTTGGTAGGCCTTACTTACACCATCACATTATGTACACATGGCTAACTTGTGTGGATAAATTGTAGGAAGACCTAATTCCACGGTTGTTTTTTGTTGTGTCGATTGCTTATTTTATTTGCGTCCTTGGTTACATATGCTGTGAGTACTGATGGAAAAACTGGTGGGATCAGCATTTACTTCGTAGAACTGATTTATTGATGGAGCTGTTCATGAATTTATAGCCAAGTTTGGGCATCTTTTTATGTGGGCTGAAAAAGCTTGTGTTTCCTGGTTCAGGTGGTCAGATGTTGCTTGGAGCATGCCTCATCTGTGTCAAAAACATTCTTGATGTCTGATTGTGTAGTTGTTGAGATCAAGGAGCCTGAACCGGCTATGGCTGGGAACCCAATGGACAACTCAGGTACATCTTCCTCTCACATTTTACGGTCATATATGGGCGAAAACTTTTGGGGGCTGGGGTGGAAAGGCATTCCACCCAACTTTCCTCTCTCTCCATGTCAAACATTGGAAATTTTTTCGTATCCCATTTTTCTCTTTTATTTTCCATCCACTGGATTTTCCTTTTGTACCAAACAGGGGATTACGTTTGAACATCGTTTGAATACTGAATTTTCTGCATTCTTTTCTTTCCTTTTTCAGGGTATGGTTACTAATGAGCTGGGAATATTCAGAACAGTCTGCCCTGCATGACGTAATGACTCAGTTTTGTACATCGGGGGGCATTTGTTTTTGCAAATTTCATCATTGTTGTTAGGAGGAAGAACAGATTTTTGTGAGTTTAGCTTGCAGGGTTACGATGCCCTATGAACTTGCAATTCATGTATAATTGCTTCGATACTGCAACCTTCTTTTGGGCGGAATTATTTTGATCTTGGTTGTTGCTATTTTCCATTTGCACCTTTTATATTTTTATATTTTACTAGTCAATGCATATGTGTGTGTTACTTGAACTATTTTGAGTATTTTAACATCTGGACATCAATGAATGTGGTAGAGGAACAAACGTGACTGGTGTCTGTGTAGAGATATAAGGAGTGAAGTGTGTGAGAACAACAAATCCCTAGTCTCAAAGACCAATTCTGCAACGCAAGTAGAAAAATCAATTGTATAACATCTATTTGAGGAATGAGTTCCAAGTACTTGCGTGTTTGGTTTGCAGCAAGGGTTTTAGCTGGGAATGAATTAGATGTAATGAAATGAAGTTGAAATGGAAAGGAATGAATATTATTATTTTAATGTTCGTGTATAAAGAGATTTATTTGGAATAAGTGCTCGAGATCGCCTTTTAACTTGCAAAATGAACAAATTTAGTAATGACACGAGAGATTATTCAATTTGCTAGAGAAAGTGCGCGTACCTTAGACTTAAGATTTATCGGTATCAATCCTTTATTTAAATTGTATTGGTGACACCTTAATAAGTTTTTTTTTTTGTATCATTAATCGATTTTGGTCACATGTTAATGGTGTTCCTATAATTTAGACAAATTTTTCATAGGCTGTGTAGCACCATTTCTGACTTTTCGAGATAACCAAGTTATCTGCTTAGTCCAATCTTATCCTCTCATTGGCCGAACAAGTTTAGCTCGATCGGGGTGGCCTAATTACATGCTCGGTCGAATTTTATCCTCTGTTCAGTCAGACCAATTTTAGCTCGCCTGGGATAGACTAGCTATCTACTCAGTTGGATCTTATAATCATAGTAGAATAATTCTAAATAACTCTTTTCAGCACGGGCAACTTACCATGTGTTCAAATCAAATTGTCAGATGATGATCATACTTTATTAACCCCTTCATTTGCCCCCAGAGAATATTTTCCTTGTGGCACGTGGGGAGATATTCTCTGTTTGCATTCCTTTCTCTCATTAATTGTATTGTATCATTCCTTATGAAAAGACCTTTTTTGTGTCCCCCACCCCTAGCAAAGAGGTCTTACCTCAATGAAAGGACTCAGGTGTTCAAGACTTAGAAAAATTTCACACATGGCCCCCTTCCCCTAGCCAAGATGACCTGCCTCATTGAAGGGTTCGAGCATCAGTTCTTTGGTCATTTATTATGACTCTTGCACTGTTCTGCCGATATAATCGGTCTTTAAACTTTACCCATTTGGCTTACGCCATAGTGCCTAGCCGTGGGCTTAAGTTTTATCGAATGGCTATACCTAAGCTAGGTCCTTGCCTCTGTCAGGATTTTTTTTCCCTGCCTTAGTAGTAGGTTGGCTTATGTCCGATCCTTCTCGGGTCTTTCATGTGGAAGGTACTTCACAAAAGGATTTTTTTTTTTTTAAAGCTTAATCTTATTTGTTCACTGGAGGTAGGGGTGACAATTGTGTCGAGTTGTTTTGTGTTTGGGTCGTGTCATAACGGGTTCAGGTTTAAGACACTTCAACCCATACACGACCTATGTAATAAACGTGTCAGGTCATCCAAACACGAAAACGACCTGTTCTAAACTCGACTAACCCGACACGACCCGTGACACGAGATTTACACAGGTTGTGTTTGGATAAATACGACCCAACCCGCCTAACATGAGCTCAAACTTGCATGGCTGAGCTCTTTTCCTAACCTCAGTTCTCGAGCTCAAACTTAAATTTTTTTCCAAGTACCATCAGTTACCCCCTAGTCTCTAGTTAAAAGTGATTTTGAGCAGGAGCTGAGCTGTAGTTGGGTCGAGCTAAGCCTTTACACGGTGACCTCAATTTGTGTGCAAATAGACTCTTTTGACGGTTTTGCACAATCATTTCTTCCTTGTTTCTCTTGCACGTCTTGTACTTTGAAGACCCACGTACACGAAGTTTTAAATACCCTTGTGCCAATGGAAACGACTTCACTTTTTCATTCGCCTTCTCTCTCTAAGCTTTGCCCTCTTCTCTTCCTTTGCAATCTTAACTTTCTCCGTTTGCCTAGGGTTTTTCTGAAGAAAATCTTCTCAAATTGAATTCGAGGATTCTATAAGGCTTGCTTTATGATTCTGCTTTGCGCTTTGGTTCATCACTCTGCCCTTGATTAGGTACGTTCTTTGACTCTTGCTCACTTCTTCACTCTAGATCCCTCGAATCCGAGGTGGCTGCTGCACTTTTGGTCCTGTCATTTTTGCTATTTTAGGAATTGAGGTTATTCCTTGTCTGCCCTTCCCCTGTTTATGGATCCTTACTCTACTGCTAGAGTCTTTCTTATTGGTCGCTGGTGTCTTGACCCCACAACCCTCAGGGACTGTTTTGTGGAAGTTCCCCCTCTTTATAGATCTTTCAGGCTTCTCTTTTCCCGTGCAATTATGTCAGCTTCTTCTGAGGCTATAGCCTCCTCTATTTCCCTTATGGGTAACAGGTTTGCTGAGGAAGACATCGATTTGGGAGACGTGGGTGAAGAGATTGATAACTTTCCTGGTGTCGATTCTGTCGATGCTAAGGCAAGCGCTTAGGGCCCCCACTCATCTTCCCCACCTATACCTAAGAAATCCAATAAAGGTAAAACCAAAATAAGTGGCGTTGGGATTTTCTATAGCACTGAAGGTATGGAAGCTACCCCTAGAGCTTCAGACCTCGTGGGTTCCAGTGAGGTCACACTTCCTTACATGAGGGTCTTATCTACTCGTTTCGGATTTTCCTAGGGATTTGAAGTATTGGTGCCCAGACAAGGACATTCGGTATGACTCTCCCATTCCTAAGAAAGTTGTTTCTTTGTGGCCGTTCTCGAGAATGGCCTTAGTTTTCCACTGCACCCCTTCCTTAAGAGTGTCCTGGAACACTTTAACATCTGCTCTGCTCAACTCTCTCCCAATTTTTAGGGTGTTTTGGTGGGTCTCCTTGTTTTCTTTAAGAAACATGATCTTGAAATTCCTACTGTGTTTTTGCCCATGAAGTTCTTTAATGCCAAGTATATTCCTTCCGATGTCTTGTATATTTCAAAATGGGTAAAAACTCAACCCATCATTATTGACCTTCCAAGCTCTCATAAGGGTTAGAAGAAACTCTTCTTCTTTGTGTGGGGCAGAGAATGGGAGTACAATTCGGAAGATATAGTAGACACTCTCCCAATGTCTCGGGTCTGGTCTACCCCTGACAACCTAGGCAAGCCCTTGTTTGAGTAAGCTTGGGTCAGTTTTGAAGACTTATTCCGTTGACCTTGTTTTGCTTATTTTGTTTTGTTCTTCAGCTATTCGTCCTAAGCTCAGTGCAGAGGATAAGCGAGTTCTGCTGAGTGATTCATGCATAAAGTTAACATTTTTTACTATGCCTTTTTGGATTAGTTGTACTTTGATGGAGTTTAAGTAATGACGTTTCAGGTCCTAAAGTGAACAAAGGCTCAAAAATAACAAAAATCACACTTGAATGTAACACCTGCACAATAGGGAACAAAATTACAAAAGGTTGGGACAAAGCAAGAACGTTCGAATGTCAATCTACGTTCGAACGTCCTCTAAAATCCTGCTAAGACCAGCTGCTGAGACATGGCGTGTTGCAGTCAACAAATGGAAAATGCTGAGATACTTAAGTAGCACGTTCGAACGCCAACTCACGTTCGAACGTCATTTGGAATCCTGAGAAGACTACACCACTAGAACCTGGCATGTTACAGTAAAGAAAGAAGAACCACAGAATAGAAGTACTTGAGTACAACGTTCGAACGCCACTCCACGTTCGAACGCCACTCCACGTTCGAACGTTGTCTTGAGTGACTGAGGACCAAGTTGCTGAGTGTAAGGTCAAAGTTGTTTAAGAAGTATGGAAGTGACCATCACAGAGACCACATACCACTTGAGTGGAAGGAATCAGACCCTAGCTGGCGTTTGAACGCCCTTAAAGCAAAGACACAGACAACGTTCGAATGACATCTCACGTTCGAACGTCCTTAAAGAAAAGACAGACTTAGCATTCGAACGCTAGATCACGTTTGAACGTCACCCACTGACTGGCTGCAGAGTTGTTGGCTTTTCACTTGGACTTGAACGGCAAATACTATTCCTTCACCCCCCTCCCCTTCCTTGCCTATAAATACTCCCATGTTGGGAGTTTAAAGGGCATTCTTCCTCTTGTAGAGTAAAAGGGGGAGCAACCTTTTTTCTTGAGAGCTTTTTTTCTTAGCAATTTTTCTCTTGTAAATTAGAAAGCTAGTTTATATACATTGCTTGTTTCATTTTAGTATCAACCATGATGGAGGCTTAGACTCCCCTTGTAGTTGAAGTCTTTTATTTATGTTAAGTCTTTACATTTATGTTGTGACAACCATGATGGAAGCTTAGACTCCCCTTGTAGTTGTACTTGTTTTTATTTACAAGTATTAAGAGAGATAACTCATCTTTTGGTTGTGGTGGAAACTCTCCAAAAGTAACTAGCTTTCTTCTACTTTTATTATTCATGTATTTCACTTCCAATGCTTAAGCTTCCTTCCTTCTTAGAAGAGTGAAACTCTTCCACTTTTCTAGAGCTTTACCAAAGCCGTGAAGGGTGAAAAGTGATTCACTCATTCTTCGTTGAAGATTAGCTCTTTGTTTATTGTACTCTCATTTGGTAACTCCTCTACTTGGAGGGATGAGTATCATTCACTCTTCTAGCTTTACCAAAGCCATGAAAAGTGAGTAGTTCCTCATTCACTCTTTAGTAAGAGGTGATGAATATGTAAAGATTATCCGAAAGTTATGTTTGTACAACTCCTTTATGCTTTAATGCTTTATATTCCACTTGCTCATTGGATGATTGAATGCATCTAGCAAAGTTGAGGTACTTTGTATAATCAAGGGCTCCCTCTATGATACGGATGACTCCTGCATAGAAAGACCCGTTGGTTCAAGGCAAGTACCCCGGCTAGCTCTTCATGACAACCTTTCAATCCCCACCATTATTGCGCTTTATTCAAAGAATGGATCATTAATGCTATGGTTGGATGCCTTGTAGAAACACTTGCTTGTTTGTAGATGGGTTAAGTCTCGGAACAAACAATTCTTGTAAACTTCTAGAAAGGCATCAGAATCATGTGCTT